CAATAATATTACGGTTAAAAACTAGTATCCACTGCACCTGATAGATTCAGCTTCTAATCCCCTTCATGAGGCTTCCATCCTATTAAAGAGGGGGACGAGTGTACCGGGTGACGCTGTTTGGCCTCACTAATATGATGTGGGTAACTGTGAGTTACTGGCGACGGTGTTGGCTTTGGAGGAGTGGCAGCACTGGTTGGAGGGGGCAGAACATCCCTTCATCATTTGGAACGACCATAAAAACCTCTTATCTCCAGTCAGCCAGGAGACTAAACCCTCGGCAAGCTAGGTGGTCTCTGTTTTTAGGAAGGTTCAATTTCACTCTCACCTACAGACCCGGTTCCCGCAACCAGAAACCAGTTGCTCTTTCCCGACAGCCAGCCCCTGAGACCTCCAGCAATTCCCCAGAGTCCATCCTCCCTCCTTAGTGTGTTGTGGCAGCTGCGTTCTGGGAGGTGGAGTTCCGGGTTATTGAGGCCCAGCAGACAGACCCCGGACCGGGTAACGGACCTCCTAACCGTCTCTATGTCCCAGTTCCCCTCAGATCACAAGTGCTCCTGGGGGGGCATACGTCAAGACTAACGTACCATCCAGGAGTCTAATGTACGTTATAGTTTATCAGACGACGCTTCTGGTGGCCTACTATCGCCCAGGACACTCAGTCCTTCGTTGCCGCCTGCTCTGTCAGGCCATCTCCTTGTGAATCTGTCTCTGTGCTGGGGTCCAAAAAGAAACTCTGAACCGTGGCAATATCAAGGTTATTTGCCTGTTGCAGTTGTCTTTATTTGATTAATAACTTGCAAAGATGGTGTGTTCTCAGAATATTTCAGGAGCTGTCTATCACAATGCAATTTCTTTGTTGCTATTGTCAGAATGCAGTCGAGAGGCCTGTGCCTCAACAAGTAGTCCATCCTATCTGTACAGAGAATGCAGTTGGTGAGGAGAGGGAAGTTGAGCTGCTACAGAAGCCACAAAGTACAACAAAACTGCTGTTTCAACGCTTGCCAGTCAGTGGTTCACAGTATTTTGGTCTTGAGGCTCAAGGTGTAAGACACCATCTAAATTTATCCCGCCGACAGCTCCCACCTCTTTAACTGCTGAACTCGTGTTACTTTAGCTAACGTTATAGTTTCACAGACTGACAGGACAGGCTGCTCTTAGCTGCTCTAAAAGCTCCAGGGAACCTGATTAAGGTGATTAAAATATTGATGTGCAGTGATTTAAAGTGTGTGAGAATCCACAGGGTTTAACTAGTTAGTGCTCGACTGCTATCTGGCTAAAAAGTACGAGAACTGAACTGTGAACATGTGACAGAAGTTAATACTGGATAGTTTATATGGAGACAAACTCACTTCTGACATTCATATTAACACATGAAACAAACATGCTAACTTCCATGATGCTTTCTGCATTTGTATTTTTCATTTTCAATAATGTCATCTCATTGATCCCTCTTCTTCAATGGATTAATAGCAGCAGACTGGAAAATTTGCCGCCAGCTGTTTATGTCCATGAACCTAATACTCAATGGCAGTGACTGGGAGAGTGCATTAGTTAGTTCCTTGTGCGGATTTTCTTGAAATTAAATAAAGATTTGCTCTACATTTGGATGGAAACCTGACTATTCATTCTGCCCTTTGTTCCAGGGTTAGGGTTGGACAACAGGGTACAAGGAGGTTGCAGTAATGTGACATTTAAAGATTATTTTATTGCAAAAGCCTTTAACAGTTACAACGTGTATGATATGAGTGGTTGATAGTTGTACAGTGTCTGCTCACAAAAAAATGATTGTGCACAGTATCACAATGTATGGAAAGAATAAAACTCTTATCTCTAATAAACAGAGAAATTTGGACAACTACAGTATCAGATGGTCATACTGTAGGAGTTTGTGTGTGTTTTATGATTGTTGGTGATGTTGGTGCAGGTTGTGTGTAATACTACATAATACGGACACAGCTTTGCCACTTTTGTCTGTGCAACAACAAGCAACTTTTTTGTCTGCCCTCTGTCTCTGAGGGCACGAGTAAGCTTACTGTTAATACAAGACTAAAGGTGTCTTAATGAAAGCTGTGGAAGGGAGGAATCTTCTTGCACCACCTGTTCAACATTTTCATATTCTGCGAGGAAGTGCTCAGGTTCCCAAACGAGCCCCTTACCATCTGTTTCAAAAGTCAAATGTTGGTATTCAACAACAGTCCATACTTTGCTGAGCACAGACACCTCAGAGCTTTCTAATTTCAGCATCTGCACTTGTGGTCTATACCATCTCAAAATATCTGCTCCATTATCACTGTTGTAAAAAAAGTACAGCTTATTGGAAATGCAGTTTATCTAACGGCATACTGTTTAGTAACAGGACCAAACAACAACAATCAACTCTGTATTGCTCCATTAGAATTAAAAACACACAAGCATGACTAAAACAGTAATGACATTATATCTTACATCAATTATAGCAGGGGCCATTAGTGTTATCGGGACATGCAAACACAAATCTGATGTGGCTGTTACGGGAGTTCTCAGCAGCTTATCAGAAATAACGCCAACAAAGAGTCAGCTAATTAGTAGATAAAGACAAAGAATCATTGTCGGATAAACTAATGTACCAAATGCATATTAGATGTGCAGCAATGATGTCTACATCCACATTTAATTAACAGGTATCTATTATTTTAATAAGTTCTTTTTTTATTTTCAGACTCACAAGAGGCCTGAAAATACACAACCTAAAAACAACCCTAAAGGTTAACAGCTATTTTCTTATCGACTGTCTGAAATCTAAGTCAGCATGAATTTTAAGATGTTCATAGTGCATAGCCGTGTTTTGACATCAAAGCTGACAACATTTTCTGGCTAAAATCATAATTTTCTGAGTGTAACACACACTGAGTGTAACACTTCAGAATCGTTTCATTTTTTCTGTTGTGTACATAAATAAAGTCTTTGTCTGGCGTCACATGAGCTGTACTTTCAGTCACACACAGAGTCTAGTCTTGCAGTTGTGATTTGACAATCAATTAGTTAAAACCTAGACTCAATTACTAATCACTTCCTGTGCTTCAGATGGGTTCTGGAAAGACTTGGAGCAGTAAATATGTGGCTCATGTCTGTCTGAAGAGGCTACAAAAGCGAACTCAACAAAGATTTACTTGACTTGAGTGGTTATGCTTTTTTCCACATTTTCTATTGAAAAAACATGACTTGTTTTTCTCAAAACCAAGGATAATTGAATAAATCAAGAATGTATCATGGGAGCACTTACTGTACGTCATTAAGGCAACCTCACTGCCCTTTGGGCAACTGTCTGTGACGCAAATCAATTGACACGGCAAAAGAATGCTGTATGTATGTTACATATGCACTGTTTTACAGTTACTAAGATGCCACCACTCTGGAAGCTAGAAAAGAACAGGAATGACTTGACAGAAAAGAATAGAATCACT